ATGAGGACTCAGACTCATTAAGACTCAGACTCATGAGGGCTCAGACTCATGAAGACTCAGACTCATGAAGACTCAGACTCATGAGGACTCAGACTCATGAGACTCAGACTCATGAGGACTCACGATGGTGACGTCCCTCTCGATCCTCCTCTGGCGGTCGCTCAGATCTCCCTCCGCTGACAGAGCGTTGCCCCTCTTCACCGTGTTGATGATGGACACGTAGCAGAAGAGCATTACGAGCACCGGGACGAAGAAGCAGAAGATGAAGATGGAGATGATGTAGGACCTGTAGGCGCTGGAGTAGTTGGCCTTGGCCCAGTCTATCTCACAGGTTCCATACCCACGATCTGTGGGGGGGCACAGAGGGGTCAGGGGGTCAGAGGTCAGAGGTAAGAGAGTTGAGTTGGATCAGGATCTTTGTACCTTTGTAGCTCCCCCAGCCGAGCAGCGGCGCTCCGGACCAGAATCCAGCTGTGATCCAGATGAGCAGCAGACTGACGGACACGCTGGTCCTGTTGATGTGACGAGCTGTAACACAACAAACACATTCTCTGGTTCACAAAGGTTCTTCTGGGTTTAATGAACTTAAAACTAAGATCACAGCTGGACTCTGAACCTCTGTTGGGGTGACAGCCTTTGATGTAGCGAGTGATGCTGATCACCGTCAGTGTGTTGATGCTGGTCAGACCAAACACCAGCGTGAAGAAACCGTCCACCTGGAGGAGAACACAGGACGGGTAAGTCTCAGGTAAGTCTCAGGTGAGTCTCAGGTGAGTCTCAGGTATATTATATTTTTTTAATTTCATTATACTTTCTTCATCCCGCAAGGGGAAAATGTTCTCTGCATTTGACCCATCCCTGTATATAGGGAGCAGTGGGCTGCCTAAGACAGGCGCCCGGGGAGCAGTTAGGGGTTCAGTGTCTTGCTCAGGGACACTTCGACACGGGACACCTAACAGCCAAGGATCGAACCTTGCGGTTGCCAGACGACCATCTCTACCCCATGAGCCACGGTCGCCACTATATCTGAGGTGAGTCTCAGGTGAGTCTCAGGTATCTGGTACCTGGCAGGTCCAGATGGAGGAGATGAGGTAGTCGCTGCCCTGGAAGACGTGGAAGATCTCGATGATGCCTCTGGAGTATCCAAACACGGAGATGCTGGCGTCGGAGACGGCGAGGTTAAAGGTCAGGTACTCTGTGGGCTGCAGAGCGTTTCTCTGTCTGTAGAGAACGAAGAGGACGATGGTGTTTCCAAACCAGGACAACCAACCTGAAGACACCACAGAGACACACGGTGAGGACACACACACACACACACACACACACACACACCTACTGTGTGTCTCTGTATATCTGTGTGTACCCACCCAGCAGCAGCAGGTACACCCCTATGATGGTCTCTGTGTGTATATGTATGTATATATGTATATGTGTGTGTATACAGACCCAGCAGCAGCAGGTACACCCCTATGATGGTCTCTCCCTGGTCAGACAGAGGGGGGTCCCGCCCCCCCCCCTGCAGCAGGCTGTTGTTCCTCCAGTGGGCGGAGCCTCCGTCTGCAGAGCTGAAGGACATGTTGCTGCTGAGAGGCCGAGCAGCTCTGTGAGGCACAACAGGAAGTCTCTCTGATAATCTCAGGTAAATATAGACCAGAGCTCAGCAGCAGGTGGACCGGATCCAGACCAGAGGAGGGACCAGGTCTGAGGTCTGAGGTCAGAGCGGTGGAAACACAACAGCTCTCTGATTGGCTGATTAATCCGTGATGTCATCAACACTGTCTGACTGTTGTTGATCTGATTCAAGTACCACAATGAAGTACAAGTACACATACTCTAATGCAATATTTCTATGTTACACTATTACCACTACTACTATACCACTATATACAGTATATATACATATATATATGTATATATATAATATATATATATATTCACAGATAGATATAATAATAATAATAATAATAATAATAATAGAACATGTGTATTTATTGAGGTGCCCCTATATAACATATGACATCACAACCTGCCTTGTTGTTTGTACATTTTGTAGTTCAATAAAGATTATTTACATCGTGTTTGTAGTTTTTCTTAGTCTGTAGTTATTTGACCTTATAAGGAGCGGCAGTGACGTGGCAGGAAACGTGCTTCTTTATTTGGACGGAAAGTAGTTCCCCTGCGTGTCCTTATGAACACGTTACCTTTTTGGTATCACTGCGCACTACCTCCGTAACGTCACAGCTCTTCTATAACACGTCATGATTAAAACGTTCAGGGGACGACGTGCAGGGAACGTTTCTGATGACGTACCCTGTGTAATATTTTTTAGAGCAGGAGAGAGAATATAGTGCGTACTGTATGGAGAACTACATTCCACAGCGGAGGGATATCAGCAGGCGCTGCTCGTGTGTCAGAGGTCCGGCCCTCACTAATCACTGTACTAAAAACACTACTTTGTAACTTTGAGCACCGATTCCGGTGAAACCGGATCACGATTTATTCTAAAATATTCCCCCGCGGCTTCCTACGGTGTCCCTCCGCTGTTCGGCCGGATCTCTCCGGTGATTTCACGTAAGTTTGATGGACAGTGAGCGCTAACTGATGCTAACCTAGTTAGCTTAGCTTAGCTAGCCGTGCAGCTCATCCGCATGTAACGGAGTTAAACACTTTATTATTTCCGATTTGTAATATTTGAATTCTGTTTTTGTCATTTAACGATCCTGCTGTGTTATGTGTGTTTTATCTAAATGACTTATTTTTATTTAGCGTTATTTTATTTATTTATTAATATTTCCGGCGGAAATGACGTCTCACCTCTTCTCAAACCTCCTGAGCTTCCGTAGTCCCGGTTTCTCCCCACAGTGGTGTTTTGTGTTGTTGAAAGGGAGCAGAAGTGCAGAGGGTTATAGATATAAAGGGACATATTAAAATAAATAAAGGGTATATGTAAACTTAATATATATATATTATATATATATATATATATAAGTTAATATATGCGTGTGTTGTATTGTCTTCTGCAGCAAATAAATGCTGGAAAAAGCATCCTCTGAGTCATCTCCTTCAATGCCCCCTATATTCAAGTTACCCTTACACCGTTTAGTTTAGTACACCAGCTTCGGTCCACCGGGAGGCGGAGGGGTTTAGGCCCGGAGCGGTGGGGGGGGGATGGGAACTAGAACCGGAACCGAGCTCAACACGGCCGGATTGGTACTGAACACCGACAGAGGAACCGACAGAGACCAGTTCGAAGACGTTACCGAGGTGTTGTACAGCGGCTCCGACCAGGACTCTGACTCTGGGGATGACGAGGACACATGCGTGGACAGGAGAGGCGTGAAGCGGGAGAGGAGCGAGCGGGAGGTCGGACATCAGTCCACCTCCTCCGGTCACGCCGGGCTCCGCCCCGGGGCGCCGGGAGCCAAACCCGGCAAGAAAACCCGAGGACGAGTGAAGATCAAGATGGAGTTCATAGACAACAAACTGAGGCGCTACACGACATTCAGCAAGAGGAAGACAGGCATCATGAAGAAGGCGTACGAGTTGTCCACGCTCACCGGTACGCAGGTGTTGCTGCTGGTCGCCAGTGAGACGGGTCACGTGTACACCTTCGCGACCAGGAAGCTGCAGCCGATGATCACCTCAGAGACGGGTAAGGCTCTGATCCAGACCTGCCTCAACTCGCCAGACTCTCCTCCGCGCTCCGACCCGACCTCCGACCAGAGGATGAGCGCCACGGGCTTCGAGGAGACCGACCTCACATACCAGGTGACCGAGGCCGAGGGGGGCCCCGAGGCTGTCAAGGTAAGGTTCCTTTAGACACGGTGGTGATGTAATGTCTCCGTTAGAAGGTTCCGTTAGAACGTACCGTGTTCCTTTAGAAAGTTAATTTAGAACGTACCAGTGTTCCATTAGAACGTACCGGTGTTCCGTTAGAAGGTTCCGTTAGAACGTACCGGTGTTCCTTTAGAAAGTTAATTTAGAATGTACCAGTGTTCCATTAGAACATACCGGTGTTCCATTAGAAGGTTCTTTTAGAACGTACCAGTGTTTCTCTCTGGGCTCCGTTCCTTTAGAAGGTTCAGGTAGAACGTACCAGTGTTCCTTTAGAAGGTTCTTTTAGAACGTACCAGTGTTTCTCTCTGGGCTCCGTTCCTTTAGAAGGTTCAGGTAGAACGTACCAGTGTTCCGTTAGAACGTACCGGTGTTCCTTTAGAACGTACCAGTGTTCCTTTAGAACGTACCAGTATTCCGTTAGAACGTACCGGTGTTCCTTTAGAACGTACCAGTGTTCCGTTAGAGCAGGGGTCTCAAACTCATTTTCACTGGGCCACATCAGCATCACAGTCGCCCTCAAAGGGCCGGTTGTAAATGTAAGACTGTGTAACTGTAACTTCTCCTAACATATTGGTAAATAACTGTCTCTGCATTTGATTATTGTTTATTCAAGTGTTTAAATATTGTACATGCAGTTATGTAAATGTAAAAATATATTTAAGCACATTTCTGTTATTATAACTTAAATCCTTTTAATTTAGGGTTAATAAACCCACATTACTCTATCAAAGATCAAACTATTAAAGAAAATAACAAAGACAAATATCAAACAAGTTATTACAATAACTTTGTTCAACGCTTAAAATCCTTTCAAGGGTGCGTTTGCACAATCCCACGTGACGTATTTCATGTGTTTTAAAGCCACGTTTAAAGTCTTCAATGTACTCACAATACATTTCATGTCAAGTGTACAGTAACCAGCCAAAGAGCTGCTTCTGTGACTGTGTGTTTAGGTATCTCATCATTTTCACTTTCTATCATAGTTATGACGTTCTATCTCATAACTTCGACTTTCTGTCTCATAATTTCGACTACGGGGATATTTTTATTGTCAAGTCTAACTTTAAATTTTTTATTTATTTTTTAATTATTTTTTTTTTTTTTTGCTGGTTGATTCGCGGGTCACATAAAATGACGTGGCGGCCTGGATTCGGAACACGCAGAATTAAACTCTATTTTCCTCCGTGACTTTTCTTTTCTTGATTCATCCATTGATAGTTTACTGGGGGGGGGGGGGGGGTCTGCAATCATGATGAGCCTCCTGCAGGGAAAGGCTCCTCACAGCAATGTAACAGGATGTGATGCACATTTTAGTGACAAAATATTAAAACATTTTTTATTTCCAGTGACAGTATCACCTCAAACCCTAAACTCCAAGATAAAAGGAGTTCCCTTTGGAAGATCGTCCACTGTGCAAACAATTAAAAACAAATAAACGTTATTTATTTCCATGTTATTTTTGTCACAGCCTGAGGCCGTGTCCACAATACTACCATCGTGTCCACACGACTACGTTCTCATTTTAAACACATAAGTCTGATACGTTTACACTGAGCGTCTTCACTACGCCCGAGTTTTAGAGCACCAAAAACGGAGAAGTTTGAAAGCTCCGGGGTTACACTCGAAAACAGATATGTTTATAAACGATGACGTAGACCCACACGTTCGCTACTTGATTGGTTGTTAGCAGTCACGACGTGTCCTTCCCTGATTGGTCACGCCCCTATCACGTGACCCTTACCCTGAAGATCACAAACAACAACAGCTTGATTACCGATCGACTACCAAGTTAACTCAACATGGACGACTGATTACAGGCGATGCTGACCGTGTTGTCTTTACTAGCAGCTGTTGTTCAGTTAGAGTCTGCATTGTTACGGAGCAAGCAGCTGTTAGTGGAGCGATCAGTGAGCAGCGTGTCCAGCGGAGGTATCAGACCTACGGAGACGTCTGAAGTTACGGTTAGCGGCTTTGAGGAGGACGGATTCTTCTTATTTCTGAACTTTGGTGAAGTCCACACATGAACTATAAAGGAGCAGAAGCATAATGCTCTCCAGTAGACAGACTTCAGCAGCAGAGCTTCGAGTGAGAGACGTGTGTTGACCTCATTCATGGATCATAATCTAGTAAACGTCACGTGTAAGTGTTAATATGAAAGTAAATATGATGAGAGAGATAAAGACCTGCAGCGCTGGAACTAAGTCTGAGAAATAAAACGTCTAAAATTTCCACTAAATGTGTGTGTTTGAGTTCATAGAGAAGATCTTATGTATCAAACACGACCTTTCATTATTAAAGACTACTTTATTACTCCGTCGTATTTCTTTTAACTAAGCAACCAATCTACGTCCTGTTTACATCCGCACCATCACACCCGGTGTACGTGGATAGTCACGTGATATTCATTTTCAGGCGTGTTAGTCTGGACGGAGATCGTTTCTAAAACGATGGTGAAACACCGTGTGGACGGAGATCGTCTCTGTTTGTTGAACGTGTTCGTGTGGATGTAGACTCAGGGAGCCGCAACAGAGGGCTGAAGAGCCGCGGGTTGCCGACCCCTGCTTTAGAAGGTTTCGGTAGAACGTACCAGACTACGGGTTCTGTTGGAGTTTCCCATTCACTTCAATGCAATTCACTGACATTAAATCATGGATGCAAACCAACTTCCTCAAACTGAACTGTGATAAATCTGACATGATCATCATCGGTCCCAAATCCCTTACCAAAACCAGTCACAACTTCTGCCTCACCATCGACAACTCCACTCTGTCTCCCTCCCCACACATCCGCAACCTCGGAGTCATGTTTGACAGCAACCTCTCCTTTGAACACCACGTCAAACAAATCACCAGAACTGCCTTTTTCCACTTAAAAAAACATAGCCCGTCTCCGCTGCTGAAACTCTGATCCACGCCTTCATCACCTCAAGAATTGAATAGAATCCCTTTTTATTGTTATATACATATACACGAAATTTGTCTGCATTTGACCCATCCCGGGAGCAGTGGGCTGCCAATGACAGGCGCCAGGGGAGCCTGGGGTTCAGTGGTTGCTCAGGCTATGACACTACGACACGTGACACGTCCCAGTTGAGGATCGAACCGTTGACCCTGCGGTTACCAGACAACCCTCTTAGGCCAGTGAGCCACTACTGCAACAACATTCTTCACGGCACATCATCCAAAATCCTAAATAAACTCCAGTACATCCAAAACTCTGCTGCTTACCCACACCCGCTCCCGCGACCACATCACCCCTGTTCTCCAGAACCTCCACTGGCTCCCCGTCCCACAACGGATCCAATACAAAATCCTTCTCCTCACTCATAAAGCCCTCCACAATCAGGCCCCCTCCTACCTCACCGACCTGCTTCACCACCACACTCCATCCCGTCGCTCCGCTCCTCTGATGCCAACCTCCTGTCTCTTCCACTCAGGACTAAGCACCGGACATGGGGCGACAGAGCCTTCTCCATAGCTGCCCCCTCCCTCTGGAACTCTCTCCCCAAACACATCCGAGACTGCACTGACCTTTGCACATTCAAATCACAGATCAAAACCCACCTGTTCAAAACTGCTTTTAATGTGTGACCACTATTGTGTATTTTATGTTTTTAGTGTATTGCTTTTATATATGATGATTTTAATGTAAAGTGTCTTTGAGTTTTATGAAAAGCACTATATAAATAAAATGTATTATTATTATTATTATTATTATAGAGAGTTTGATCACAGCGGTTGATGCTGATTGGCTGCTGAGTCTCAGGTGTTTCCAGGTGTGTGCTCAGCCCCGCCCCCTCCTGTCTGTCTCTTCCTGTAGGATGTGATCAAACCAGCGTTCACGTCCTCCTCTTCCTCCTCGTCCACCGTGTCCATGCAGGTGCAGACCGGCGCCCCCTCCTGGCAGCCCCCCCCCTCCTCCTCCAACGGGACGGTGTTGAAGACGTCGGCCGGGGTCATGCTACCTGGAGGCTTCACCTTGATGTCAGGTAGGTGTGGGCGGAGCTTCCTGTCACCTGCTTCTTCTTCTGTGATGTTCTCACTAGTCTCAGACCTCCCAGCAGCTCTAACCTGTCTCTGCCCCCCCCTCACCTGTCCACAGGTGTCTCGCTGCCCCCCGGCACACACACCATCCCCCTCAGCCAGCTGCATGGCCAGCCTCTGAGCATCCAGGTTCAGACCTCCACCAATCAGAGCAGCTCAGACATCCACTCCACAGGTAAGACCATTGGCCCCGCCTCCTCCACAGCAGCAGTCTCTGCTTACGTCCCGCACTGAGCTCACGTTGATCATTGCAAGGTGGTTTTAATTTAAAATGGTAATATACCTTTATTGTGAAGGTGGTTTTAATTTAAAATGGTAATATGCCTTTATTGTGAAGGTGGTTTTAATCAACAATGGTAATATGTCTTTATTGTGAAGGTGGTTTTAATCAAAAATGGTAATATGCCTTTATTGTGAAGGTGATTTTAATCAACAATGGTAATATGCCTTTATTGTGAAGGTGGTTTTAATCAAAAATGGTAATATGCCTTTATTGTGATGGTGGTTTCAATCAAAAATGGTAATATACCTTTATTGTGAAGGTGGTTTTAATCAACAATGGTAATATGTCTTTATTGTGAAGGTGGTTTTAATCAAAAATGGTAATATGCCTTTATTGTGAAGGTGGTTTTAATCAAAAATGGTAATATGCCTTTATTTTGAAGGTGGTTTTAATCAAAAATGGTAATATGCCTTTATTTTGAAGGTCTCTGTTTCTCTGCAGCCAGTCTTCCTGCCCCCGTGATGTCGTCCTCTTCGTCCTCTTCATCCTCTACATCAGTGGCAGGTCACATGATGTACCCTGGCGGTCACACAGTGATGTACGCGACACCGACATCATCACTGAGTGACAGCGGACTCACCGTCCTCAACACTTTCCCCCCGACAAGCCAGTCACATGACCCAGGTACCATTACTGTTGTTATTATTCAATTATAGTAGTATAAACCTGAACCAGCTCTAACTATAAACCTGAACCAGCCCTAACCATAAACCTGAACCAGCCCTAACCATAAACCTGAACCAGCCCTAACTATAAACCTGAACCAGCTCTAACTATAAACCTGAACCAGCCCTAACTATAAACCTGAACCAGCCC